AAATAGACTCCTTGATGTTTTCTTTTCTGATCTTTTTATAGAAACAGATACGATTTGCTGGACATTCTGTCCTCTTGGCAACAAATGGTGGTTCAGTAGCAAGACAAGCATCAGAGAAAGAATGTAAAAATAATAACTTATTTTCAACACTGCCTCATTTATCAGTGCCCAGGGAAGAATAAAACCTAGAACAACAAAAACAAACAAAATAAACACAATCTCTTCTTTGGACTCTACCTTTTCTTAAAAATGCCATCTCCCTATTTTCATTTTGCCTTATGACTTGATGAAAACAGTAGTCAAGTTCACTCAGTGTTTCTTATTTCTTCTATCATTGATATTCTGGTTCCTATTTTCACTACTATGCTAAAGTTACTCTTGGTATTGAAAGTCCCTTCACTGCAAATGCTATTCTCCCCTTCTCCCCCCCACATTTCAGCCCCATTCAGTCTTTATAGCCCATCTCAAATGTCATTTTTTCTTTATAAATTTAATTGAATGAACATTCAAATACCTGTCATGTTCAGCAGACTCGTATCATTTGTACATTTAACTTATTTGAATTCAACTAAAGTTGAAAAAAACACCAAACTAGGGAGAAAAAATAGCAAAGAATTCTTCTCTTCCCCTAGTAAAGTGTTTTCAAAACAACATGGTTGCCAAAAGGAAGCCAACTACTTTATCTGGTTTTCCACAGAACAGTAATCTATTCCAATGCTAGAGGAAAACCTGTCTGAATTGGATTTATACAAAGATATTACACAGAACAATGTAAAGTATACTTCATGGACTATGTTAAGGATTTTTGAGGGGTTATTTTGAACAGTTTTTGCCTTACTCTAACTAGAACCTACTCTTTGTGTAAGATGTGATTTTACTACTACAGCTATGTTGAACTTGAGTCAGTCACATCATTTAGGACCTTTCTGGGTAACATTTGGATCTCTTTTGAATGTTTTAGGTGTAGAACTATCTGAGGCACAGATAATTAACTAATTCCTTTTTGTCTTTATTTTTGCATTTGGGGGGGAGATAAATCTGTATGAATGCAATAATAGTCACAACACATAAAAGCAGGAGAAAATGCTATGACTTTTTATTTCATGTTCACCTATATAGTTTGAGATGCTTGGCTTTTTTTCTTTTTAATGTACAGATCTTATTCCATGGGGGGAGATAAATCTGTATGAATGCAATAATAGTCACAACACATAAAAGCAGGAGAAAATGCTATGGCTTTTTATTTCATGTTCACCTATATAGTTTGAGATGCTTGGCTTTTTTTCTTTTTAATGTACAGATCTTATTCCATTAAAATATTTTTATTGATTTTAGAGAGAGAGGAAGGGAGAGGGAGAGAAAGATAGAAACCTTGATGAGATAATTATCGACTGGCCACCTCTTGCATGGTCCCTATTGGGGATTGAGCCCGCAACTCGGACATGTGCCCCAACTGGGAATCAAACTGGTGACCTCTTGGCGTACGGGCCATTGTTCAACGATTCAGCCACATCAGCCAGGCAAACACTTGGCCTTTTGAAAGTCAGTTGTATGTGTCCACAAAGATATTGTTGCATTTAGTTTCCATATGAGCCATAATAGTTCTACTCCAATGCAAAGGAATTTATAGAAATCTTTTCTTAAGCATGCAGGGTTAGGTTGTAATTATATTTGAGATGCTTTAATGATATTAATCTTTTAAAATATATGTTACTTCCTTATTTTCCTCTAACATTTTAAGTTTCTAAATATGTTACATTTCATTTTTGAAGCTTTTTTCTCAAGAAATAGTTTATATTGCTGTAACAATAAGAATTGCAAAACAGAATTGATGTATTATTATTACTACTATTACTATTATTATTTTAAATGTTTTTATTGATTTCTGAGAGAGGAAGGGAGAGGGAGAGATAGAAACATTAATGATGGGAGAGAATCATTGATCGGCTGCTTCCTGCATGCCCCCTACTGGGGATCAAGCCTGCAACCCTGGCATGTGCCCTGACTGGGAATGAAACTGTGACCTCCTGGTTTGTGGGTTGACACTCAACTACTGAGCCATACCGGCTTGGCAAGTGGATGTATTATTAAAGAGGTTATTTTTTGTCTGTGATAATTTGAAGACTAAATGGTATATGTTGTAGAGATGGGATTGCAAATACATTTATTTAATAAAGCCTTAAAGTAACTTCAGTGCAATCAAAAGATTTTGATGACATTAGGGACAATTGATAGAAATAGTTTTGGAGACTTGGCTTGGGCAAGTGAGAGTACAACTCTTTTAGGCTATTTGACTTTTAATTTATTTAACAATAAGCTTAAGCCCAACTAAGTGGTTATATAAATTATCCTTTGATGTTTTAAAGTATAACTTACATATTTGAATGGAACTGATAATTATTTATTTATTTTTTTAAAATATATTTTATTGATTTTTTACAGAGAGGAAAGGAGAGAGATAGAGATAGAGAGTTAGAAACATCGATGAGAGAGAAACATCGATCAGCTGCCTCCCGCACATCCCCCACTGGGGAAGTGCGCGCAACCCAGGCACATGCCCCTGACCGGACTCGAACCCGGGACCCTTCAGTCCGCAGGCCGACGCTCCATCCACTGAGCCAAACCGGTTTCGGCGGAACTGATCATTATTGAAGAGCTAGAAACATTTACTGCTGTTTTTAGTGTATTCAGGATGAAACCTTGAATTCTGGAAAAGCTTGTTTTCTTTGAGAAGTAAAATTTTTTGGGAAAGTTGGTAATTTAACTATTGGGCACCATATTTTAAAAGACAAGAAATACTGGCTTTCAAAATGGTGGCAGAGTAAGTAGAAGCAATATTGACACTCTCCTAGGGCCAAACTGGAAATACAACAAAAATACAGAAGAAACACCCTGAAAAATCAACTGAGGACTACCTGGAGAGAACAGTGATAACCAAGGACAGAAAGTGGAGACCTCTAGAGACTGGTAGGAAGGGCAGAAGCATGAAAAGGCTGTCTGGGCTACCACAGGCAGCAGCTGAAGTCCCAGAGAGATATCTCAGCTGTGGAGGGGTTCCCACTGAGAACTCCGGTGTCTAAACCCCAAGCTGGGTCCCCAAGCCCAGAGCACCAGAACTGAGAAAGGTGCCTACATAACATATGGCTGTGAAAAGCAGCAAGGCCGCTGTCTGCCAGCGAGAGACAGCTGCAAATGCAGGCACCTTCTTAGTTCTCAGTGGGAACCCCCCACACCTGAGATCTCTCTCCAGAACTTCAGCTACTGTCTGTGGTAGCCCAGCCAGCCCTTTTGCACCTCCTCACTTCTTACCAGTCTCTATGTGGTCTCCATTTTATGTCCTTGGTTATCAGGGTTCTCTCCAGCTAGTCTTCAGTTGATTTTTCAGGGTGGTTTTTCTGTATTTCAGTTATATTTCCAGTTTGGTTCTGGGAAAGTGTCAGTGTAGCTTCCACCACCATTTTGGAATTGAGCATCTTTCCATGTTCTCATTAGCCATTTGTATATTTCCTTTGGTAAAATGTCTATTAAAATCTTTTCCCCACTAGATAAACTTTTTTGGACTTAAAATTTTTCTTCAGTTATAACATTACTTTGTATATATTCTAGATATAAATTCTTTTATGTTTACTTTTTAATCCTCACCTGAGGATATGTTTATTGATTTTTTTGTGGGGGGGGGTGAAGAGGGAAGGAGAGAGGGAGGGAGAGAGAACGAGAGAGAGAGGGAGGGAGAAAGAGAGAGAGAGAGAGATCAGTCAGCTGCCTCTAGTCTGTGCTCAGACTGGGGATTAACCTGCAACTTAGGTATATGCCCTGACTGGGAATTGAACCTGCAACCTTTTGGTATACAGGGCAGTGCTCCACCAAACAAACAAATAGTCCAATTAAAAAATAGGCAGGAGCCCAGCCGGCGTGGCTCAGTGGTTGAGTGTTATCCTATGAACCAGGTTGTCATGGTTCAGTTCCCTGCCAGGGCACGTACTCTGATTGCAGGCAGCCCTCTTTTTAACCTGTGTAGTGCACTGTAGATAGATTCACTTTTTTAGAAATTGGATTACTGTGAAATTATATAAGATTTAGCTTGCCAGTTTCGTGTTTATTTAAAAAGGCTGTGTAACATATGAAGGTAAATTGTTAAAATAATGTTAATGAAGTTTTCCAGATATTTCACTTTTTTCTGTTTCCTGTATATTTTTCCAGTAAGATAAATGAGTAAATCAGAATATTGAAAACTCATGTTTAAAAATTGTGGTAAAATATATATAATATAAAGTTTACAATTTTAATAATTTCTAAGTATATAGTTCTTAGCATTACATGCATTCCCATTGTTGTGCATTCATCACCATTGTTTATCTCCAGAGTTTTTTTTATCTTTTCCAACTAAAACTCTACACCCATTAAAGACTAACACCCATCTCTTGGCTTCCCCTAGCCTCTGGCAACCATCATTCTACTTTCTAGCTCGATGAATTTTACTACATTAGAAATTCCACAGAATCAGAATTATACAATATTTGTCCTTTTGTCACTGGCTTATTTTACTTAGCCTCATGTCTTCAAGCTTCATTCATGTTCTAGCATGCTTCAAAAAAATTTTTAAGGCTGAATAATATTCCATTATGTATATATACCACATTTTGTTTATTAATTCATCTATCAATAGTATTCATTAATTCTGCTCTTCCATGGGTAGCTTCTACCTTTGGGCTATTCTGAATAATGCTGCTATGAACATGAGTGTACAGTTATCTGTTTGAGGTCCTACTGTCATTACTTTTGTAGAAATAGAATTCTTGGCTCATGTAAATCACATGGCAATGACTATTTGTTAATTATGTGATGTGGATTTCAGTAATATAATGAATTGTACCCATGGAATAGCAGACATAATGGGTACTATTTTTAATGTAAGGAAGTTAGTCCATTTTTAAAAATGATTCAATTAAGTATTAATATGAAAATATTAAGAGGTATTCTTTCCTTCATTTTTCTAACAGAGTCAGCATATTTCATTAGCACCTATTCAAAAGCTTGAAGAAGCTCTATATGAGTACCAGCCATTGCAAGTAGAGACATGTGGACCACAAGTTCCTGAGTTTGAGATGCTAGGAAGACTTGGGTAAGTGCCCCAAAGAACTTCTCATTGAGTAGCTGATGATTAGTGCTTTGTTTTTATCATTTTGAGCTGACACTTTAATGTTATTAAATTTGAATTTATGGAATTTTATACTCTTTTATAAAAAAAGAACTAGAGGCCTGGTGCACGAAAATTTGTGCAAGAGTAGGCCTAAATTTGTGCAAGTGTGGGCCTTCCTTCCCCTGGCTGCCAGCACCGGCTGCACCAGCTTCCCTCCTGCACCCGGGACCCGGGCTTTCCTCCTCTGGCCACTGGCAGGCACCAGGACCCGGGCTGGCTTCCCCCAGGCTGCATGTAGGCACCTGGGACCCGGGCTGTCTTCCCTCCGGCTCTGGCTTTGTCAGGAAGGATGTCTGGTCTAATTAGCATATTACCCTTTTATTATTATAAATGATGCTTTGCCCGGCTGGTGTGGCTCAATTTTTGAGCATCTACCTATGAACCAGGAGGTCACAGTTTGATTCTTGGTGAGGGCACATGCCCAGGTTGTGGGCTCAGTCCCCAGTGTGGGGCATGCAGGAGGCAGCAGATCAATGATTCCCTCTCATCATTGATGTTTCTGTCTCTCTCTCCCTCTCCCTTCCTCTCTGAAATAAAAAAAAAAAAGGAATGGTGCTTAATACTAAGTTAATAAATTTTTTTGATGATTTTGTTAGATATTTTTTGAGATTGAAATTGGATTGTATTAGTTCCTTTTTAAGGCTTTCCTTGGCAGCCTTACTAAAGTAGCTGTTCATTTTCAACTCACTGCATATTTTTTAGAAAGAGGGGTTTAATTTAGTTAGTAGTAAGCCAGTAAAAATAAGAGAATTGAGCTCCTTACCATGAAAAAGAGTAGATTTACCCACTGTCTGCTGTATGAAACGGTATTATGAAAAATGAGCCACAAAATATATTTTGTGAAAAGATATATTGTAGAGCTAGCCAGTGGCTCAAAAGTTATATGCATCCATTTTGAAAATGAATGTTGGATTGTGTCTTTTGTGAGGTTTAGAGATGATCACAGTCTTTCTCAGGGGTACGGGTAGGTATTTGTATACAGGCACAGACTTTGTTGGATGGAGCAAGCCTATTTTGTTGTGATGTTTCAACATAGATTATTGAATGAAAAGATGATCCAGAATTAGTTGTTTTCTAACAAAATAATGTAAAGTTATAATGTGAATAGAAAATAATTGTTACTATGAAACCAAGTAACTAAAAAAAGATCCTAACAGCAAAAACAAGATAGATGAAATAGATAAAATCAATATGGTCTTCAAAATCAAAACCAAAGTCTTGAAGATGATGCATGGTATTTTGTATATGAACACGGAGGCTCCAAGGTCAAATTACTATTAAAATGATAGATAATTTACTTATTTGCAACTTGGTAGATCTTATGTTTTCTTTAGTTCTATGTCCTCCTAATGTCCTATGATCTCCCAGATGAAGCCAGGGGAATGTGAAACAAAATCTAAAACGCCATTTGAGTTTGAGATAACAAATTCATCAAAAAATTGGCCTAAATGCTAAAACTGTAGCTTGAGGAGACAGACAATATAAGGTTGTATGATGTAAAAAGTTATAAGTGAAACAGACATTGATAGCTTATCTCTTAAAATCTTTACTTTTATGCATGTGAAAATAAGTATTTAAAATAGTACTCCTCTGTTACAAGCTGATTTTCCAATAATTTTGTTATCAAAATTACATTTGAAAGATAATAGAAATTGCCTTGCATAATGACAATGCACAAGTCAAATGTATGATAACAATTCATACAAAGTTTAGGAAGAGGGGTAAAAAAAACTCTTGCTATTGAAATGTTCTTATACTATGTGTGAAGTGATGTAATAGTATCTGGAGATAGACTGTAATAAGTTAAAGATGTTTAATATAAACCCTAGAACAACTACTGAAAATGTAAAACAAAGTGGGATAGTCAATAATTCAGTATCAGAGAAAAAAATAAAATCATAGAAATACTCCATTAATGAAATGGAGGGCAGGAAAGGGGGGGCAAAAAATAAATGGGACAATTAGGAAACAAATAGTATGGTGGTAGATTTAATATTAATTATATCAGTAATCACATTAAATCCAAATGTTTTGAACAAACACCATCCAATAAAACTTTCTGAAGTGATGGAAATATTCTGTCCTCTCAGCATGGTTATGGCCAAAGGCTATGGATGTATGTAAGCTTGACCTTATACTAATTGTCCGACCCTGCAGTCCTAGGTAGCTGAGGGATGTGGGCTGCTGGGGGTGCAGCAAGTGCTGCCAAAACAAGGCTTGATAGAGTTCAGAGAATGGCAACAACAGGAAAGAAGCAGATTTGAAATTCGCAAGAACATTGTAAACATCTTGTCCTTGTGTTGCTTTGTCTGATCTGATTATAAAATAAAGCTTCAGCTTACGCAGAGGTCCTCAAACTTTTTAAACGGGGCCAGTTCACTGTCCCTCAGACATTCCACACATGCGCACTGCGGGCCCGGGACGAGTTGGCTGCTAAGCAGGACAGCCAGCGGGGGCAAAAACACCCAGCGGGCCGGATAAATGTTTTCTGCGGCCGCATGTGGCCCGCGGACGTAGTTTGAGGACCTCTGGTTACAGGCTGTGTCACTGTTTCCTCATCCAGGCACAGTGATCCACCTGGTCCCAACTGTTTTCTCTTGTCTGTCTTCTTTAATCCTTCACCGCCCCTCCTCAGGTTCACCCGTGGCTGTGCTGGACAGGGTTTAGAATTCAGTATGATTTAAATAAACACATGGCTTGTGGCTATCATGTTGGATAGCACAGGATCTAAATCAGGGGTGGGCAAACTTTTTGACTCGAGGGCCACAATGGGTTCTTAAACTGGACTGGAGGGCAGGAACAAAAGCATGGATGGAGTGTTTGTGTGAACTAATATAAATTCAAAGTAAACATCATTACATAAAAGGGTACGGTCTTTTTTTTTTTTTTAGTTTTAATCATTTCAAACGGGCCGGATTCGGCCCGCGGGCCGTAGTTTGCCCACGGCTGATCTAAATACTCCAAATAATAGGCAGAATTTGCCAGATTAGATTTTAAAAAGCAATATTATTTGAAGCCATAGGCTTTCTTACTTTTTTTCCTATTATTCTAGATCTAAGAATGCATACTATAATTTATATACTATAATTTTCAGAAATATTTAGAGCGAGATTGGAGAAGTTGCCCTATGAAGTGACTTTTCAGAGAATGATTTGGTATCCTCAAAGGTGCTGCTCTTAAGGTACAAGGAATATTAACTTCAGTTGACTAAAGGTGTAATTGTTACATACCTGTCCCAAGAGTTAGTCCACATCTTTGCTAGAAGATTGTATCTAATAAGCCCCAGTTATCCCTTTACAGCTGGTTCTCCCCCTCTAGCTTATATCCTCTTTCTTTTTCTATTCCATTTTATATTATGTTATTCTACAGAGGGAACAAGTTTAATTTCTTTAGAGGCAAATAGAAAATAAGTTAACTACCTTATTTCCATTTTCTTATATCTGCTCTGAAATCTTTATGGCATGAAGTTAAGAATAATACACTTGTACTTTCACGTTAGTTGGTGCAAAACGTGGATGCAAGCACTTTCAAAATAATTTTAATTATATAATTTTGGGAGCGGGTGACATAAGGTCTTAGGAGAATGCCTCCTAAAATCTATGTTTTTGTCCTCATGTATAACTTTGATAAAGGATGAAATCAAAAGTATATTGCTATGAGGTTTTACGTGGTTTTTACTGAGATCTTTTCTAAAGTTAGTTAAACTTGAGCAGTAGATGAAGACTAAATGAGAATCTCTCATTCAGGAGGGTATTATGAATATATAGTTATAGTTAAGATTGCACTGGCAGTACTTTTTAGATTTGCTGAAGGCAATATGTAAACATGTTTTATTAATTCTGTGCCAGTGGGAACAAGCATTGGGAAAACTTAACTGCTAATTGAAATTCCCCAGACTGTGACTTTAGTGGTTAGTAAAGTCTCATTCATTGGCACCATGAGACTGTCTCTGTAATCATCAACTGGCTTTCTTGTGAATATTTTACTACCTTCCACCCAAAGAAGAATTATTTCCTTAACTGATATAAGTTATAAGCATTTATCAACTTCATTCATCAATTTCAAAATTATTTAATCAGCTATCACTATTATTTTAAATAGATATGTGCTTTATTTAACATGAGCTGTTCATTTGTGAGCATATTATAGAAATAAGAAAAAACTTGTTTTATAAGATAAAATATGATCTTTAAGCAGGATGTATATTTTTCAGTTATCTTTTTAAAAAATCTTTATTTTTGAAAGTATTACAAATGTCCCTCATTCTTCCCCTATTGCTCCCCTCCACCTGGTTCTCACCCCGCCCCAGGCCTCCACCACCCTATTATCTGTGTCTATGGGTAAAGCATATATGTATATAAGATCTTTGGTTAATCTCTTCCCACCCCCACCCCTTCCTGCCCAGATTCCTCAGTCTGTTCCATGTTTCCATGTCTCTGATTCTATTTTATTCATCAGTTTATTTGTTCATTAAATTTCTTGTTCACGTATTTTGATTTTTAGATTCAATTGTTGATGGATGTGTATTTATTGCTATTTTGTTGTTCATATTTTTTTATCTCCTCCCCCTCTTCCCTCCTCCTCCTCCTCTTCCTCTTCTTCCTCCTCAACCTCCTCCTCCCCCTTTGCTTAACTTTGCTGTTTTTAAGATTCTCTCTTTGTCTTTAACCCTTGGCATTTTAATTATGATGTGACTTGGTGTGGGCTTCTTTGGGTTCCTGTTGTTTGGGGTTCTCTGTGTTTCCTGGGCTTGTATATCTATTTCTTTCACCAGGTAAGGGGAATTTTTCTGTCATTATTTCTTCAAATAGGTTTTCAATGTCTTCCTGTCTCTCTTCTGGCACCCCCATGATGCAAATGTTGGTACACTTGAAGTTGTCCCAGGGCCTCCTTATACTATCTTCATATTTTTGGATTCTTTT